TAAGGAGTGTTTGGGTACGAGAGGCTTCCTTAACAGCGTCTTGCGAGCTTGTCTCATCACTTCGGCGGGTTAAAGCGTTAGCTTTGAGGTTGTCTTTACTAGAGCGGTACAAGATAATGAAATAGAAGTCTGCTAGCAGCTCTACCCAACGGGCCTGCCTGGCTGTTAGCTTCTTGGATGACATAAAGTACTCTAGGGCTTTGTGATCGGTGTAAACCTTAACAAGTGTAAGAGTAGAGGCTAGTTTAGCTCTCTATTCCTTCATAGTCTTCACAATAGCCAGCATTTCCTTATCATAGATCTCATAATTTAGCTCAGCAAGGGCTATAGTCTTAGAGAAATAAGCAACGGGTAACTATTGCTCGCCGTGCTTCTGGTTAAGGATTCCTACAACTACACCATCTAAGGCGTTTGTTTCTATCATACACTCGAGAGCGGGGTCGTAGTGTTGTAGAATCGGTGCCGTAATAAGCCGTAGCTTAAGCTTTTCGAATGTAGCTTTACAATCGCTATTAAAGTGGAAGGGGACGTTCGCTTTCGTAAGCTAAGTTAAGGGAGCTGCAATCCTTCCATATTCCCTAATAAATCGGCGGTAGAAGTTGTAGAAGCCTAAGAATAACTGTACGCCTTTAACCGTACTAGGGCGCTTCCATTCCTCAATAACTTTCGTCTTCTCTGGGTCTACAGAAATGCCTTCTATACTAATAATAAAACCTAGATACTTTGTACGAATCACATTAAATTCGCACTTCTTGAGATTAGCTTGTAAGCCGGCATCTTGAAGTCGTTATAGTACTTTTTTCACATGCTCTTCGTGCTCGAGGGGGTTATCTGAGTAAATAAGGATATCATCGAGGTACGCAGTACAAAAATCGTCCAAATACTCAAACAATATATCGTTTATATATCGCTAGTATGTGGCAGGTCCATTAGTAAGTCCAAAAGGCAAGACTTTGCACTTATAGGCTCTATAGCGAGTACGAAAAGTAGTTAATTCCTCCGAATTAGGGTGTATTCGGATCCGGTGGAAAGCTTGGCGTATATCTAGCTTCGTGTAGATCTTAGTAGAAGCGATTCGAGCCAGGGTCTCGTCGATTAAAGGCAATAGATACCGGTCTTTGCGAGTTATAGTATTTAGCTTCCGAAAATCGATGTAAAAGCGCAGACCACCATTGGCTTTCTTAACAAAGAGGACAAGTGCAGCAAAGGGGGCTTGACTAGGTTTAATAAAGCCTTTAGACAGGTTGTCTATTAAGTATTGCTTGGTGACTGCTAGCTCTGCGGCACCCATCTTATACAAAGGTGTGAACTAAAGCTTAGATTCATCCTTCTCAAGAGCGATCTTGTGGTCGTACGACCGAGGCGGAGGCAGTGTGTTGGAGTCCTCTCTAGAGAAGGCTCGGGCGAATTGCTAGTACGTGGCCGGCACTAACGGCTCCAATTCCATAATCTCTAGCCCTGGCCGTGCTTCTT